TGTGCTTAGTGACTGCAATGTGTGTGTGACCTTCTGCTGAACCTGCCCCCGTGTCTGTACCCTGGTAAAGGTGACTGTGCTCTCCAATTACCAACCTCCTTTCCCCCCTTCAAACACACTGTCCTCTAAAAGAACATGAGGGAAACAGTAATTAACAGAAATGTATTTTTTATTAAGAACTACACAGTTAGGGGATGAAACTGGGATGGGGGTTTGGGTGATGTGTATTTGGAGGGAAGGAAAGGACGTATCAAATCTTTGGGAATGAGAGCCTTCTGCAATTTGAGCAGTCTGCAGGGGTGGAGTGACTGTTTTCACGGCACCTGCCCCCCCTCCTTCTTGGTACTTTGGGTGAGGGGGGGACGGGACTTTGTGGCGGGGGAGGGCGGTTAGAGATAGAATGCAGGGGGGCTCTGTCCTCCTGCCTCCGGTCCTACAGAACATCTACAAGGCGCCAGAGTGTGTCCGTTTGCTCCCTCATTAGTCCAAGCAGCGTTTGAGTCGCCTGCAGGTCTTCCTGCCACCACCTGTCCTCCCTTTCGCTGTGTGATCGCAGGTATTGCGATATGTTCTTCCTCCACTGGGTCTGCTGTGCCGCCTCGGCTCGGGAACAGACCATAAGTTCTGAGAACATCTTGTCCCGTGTCCTCTTCTTTCGCCGCCTGATCTGCGCCACCCTCTGGGAGGGGGATGCCGGGGTAGCTCGGGAGACGCTCGCAGCTGTGGGATAGGAAAAAGGGAGTGAATTCCTCAAAAAGATACATTTTTGCAAACAACAAATATAGTCTTTCTCTGTGAACAAGACCATGCACAGTACCTATCACATGTGCACTCAGTACAAGGTCGAATTTTCTGTCTTCACCTTGAGTGCCTGGGGTCTTGCTGTACAGATCACACAAACGGGGCCGGACACCGGAATTTTGCTAGCAGGCAGCCATGGTAAGCCATAAACTTTTGGCTGCTTAAAGCCTAATTTACAGCAGTGCCCTCCTTTCACGTTCCTAGCGTTGGCCAGTTCCTGCTGCCGGCGATCCGGACGGCATGAACTCTGCCCCTGTCCCACCCCCGTCGCCGCTGTCCCCGGGAAAGATCCCTGCATGCTGCCAGCGAACCCCTCAGTAGGAATGGTTCGCCTCCCCGCCCCCACCGCGTGTCTGTAAACTGCTGGTTACAGTTATTTAAAGGAACAGGCAATCAGTCCCCATACTAAAATTTCCCTAATTCAAAGCAGGTCACCATGAGTGATATCACTCTGATGAGGATTACGGAGGCAGAGAAAGACCGCATGCTGCGTGAATGCCAGCAAACACCAGGGCCATATGCCGCCATGCTTTGCCAGGCAATGATCCTGGAGTACCTGCTGCTAGCCTGACACGGAAAAGTTTCCTAACTTGGAGGAGGCAATAAGGCCACTCTCCCCAGGAACCTGATGCAAAGGCTTTCACATTACCTCCAGGAGCGCTTTGTGGAGATTTCCCTGGAGGATTTCTACTCTATCCCCAGACATGTTAACAGACATGGCAAGGACTAAAAAGTTAAGCGCCTAGGGCAAACTAATCATTAAAAACCCATTGCTAACATACCATGCCTATTCTATTAAAAATAAATGTTTACAACACTTACCTACTGATGTTTCCCCTGATTCACGGTCCGGGTTAACGTCTTGGGAGAGTTGGTTGGGGATCTCTGTGAGAGTGATGAAGAGATCCTGGCTGTTGGGGAAATCAGCGTTGAAAGCGCTGTCGACTGCCTTGTCCTCCTCCTCTCCTTCCTCATCTTCCCCATCCGCGAACAGCTCAGAGGAAGTGGCCGTCGACAATACCCCATCGTCAGAGTCCACGGACAGTGGAGGGGTAGTGGTGGCGGCCGCACCTAGAATGGAATGCAGTGCCTCGTAGAAATGGCATGTCTGGGGCTGGGATCCGGAGCATCCGTTTGACTCTTTGGTCTTCTGGTACGCTTGTCTCAGCTCCTTGATTTTCACGTGGCACTGCATTGCATCCCAGCTGTATCCTCTCTCCGTCATGGCTTTTGAGATCTTCTCGTAGATCTTCGCATTCCGTCTTTTCGATCACAGCTCCGAAAGCACGGACTCATCGCCCCACACAGCGATCAGATCCAAGACTTCCCGATCAGTCCATGCTGGGGCCCTCTTTCTATTCAGCGATTGCATGGTCACCTCTGCTGGAGAGCTCTGTATTGTTGCCAGTGCTGCTGAGCTCGCCACGATGTCCAAACAGGAAATGAGATTCAAACTGGCCAGACAGGAAAGGGAATTCAAATTTTCCCAGGGCTTTTCCTGCGTGGCTGGTCAGAGCATCCAAGCTCGGACTGCTGTCCAGAGCATCAACAGAGTGGTGCACTGTGGGATAGCTCCCAGAGCTATTATCATCGAATTCCGTCCACACTAACCCTAATTCGACATGGCCATGTCGAATTCAGCGCTACTCCCCTCGTCGGGGAGGAGTACAGAAATCGATTTAAAGAGACCTCTATGTCGAAATAAATAGCTTCGTTGTGTGGACGGCTGCAGGGTTAATTCATATTAACGCTGCTAAATTTAACATAACCTCCTAGTGTAGACCAGGCCTAGATCTCCAGACTTCCTTTCCTGTTGTTTTAACTACAAGACCATTCTTCTGCAAGCATTGCAACAAAATGGGAAATGACTGCCTAGGAAGGAGTATTGTAGAAAGGGATCTCGAGGTCATAATGGATCACAAGCTAAATAATGAGTCAACTGTGTAACACTGTTGCAAAAAAAAAAAAGCAAACATAATTCTGGGATGTATTAGCAGGAGTGTTGTAGGCAAGACACAAGAAGTAATTCTTCCGCTCTACTCCATGCTGATTAGGCCTCAACTGGAGTATTGTGTCCAGTTCTGGGCACCACATTTCAGGAAAGATGTGGACAAATTGGAGAAAATCCAGAGAAGAGCAACAAAAATGATGAAAGGTCTAGAAGAACATGAAGATTGAAAAAATTGGGTTTGTTTTGTCTGGAGAAGAGAAGACTTAGAAGGGACATGATAACAGTTTTCAAGTACATAAAAGGTCATTACAAGGAGGAGGGAGAAAAAATGTTCTCCTTAATCTCTGAGGATAGGACAAGAAGCAATGGACTTAAATTGCAGCAAGGGTGATTTAGATTGGACATTACGAAAAACTTCCGAACTGTCAGAGTGGTTAAGCACTGGAATAAATTGCCTAGAGAGGTGGTAGAATCTCCGTCATTGGAGATTTGTAAGAACAGGTTAGACAAACACCTGTGAGGGATGGTCTAGATAATACTTAGTCCTGCCATGAGTGCAGGGGACTGGACTAGATGACCTCTTGAGGTCCCTTCCAGTCCTACAATTCTATGATTCAGGTCATTATTAATCTCAAAGGGTTTTGGGGGGGATGTGGTGATTGGGAAGCTGTTAGCATCAATCCTCATTAAAACAGATCTTGCAGTCAGCATGATCTTGATGATATTCAGCCTAAGATTTTCCTTTTCTTAATCTATTCACATTATCTGTTAGGTACAGGAGCCTTTAACCAACTTGTTCGTGGTCTAAATGCCAGCTTAAACTGTAGCATCCAATAACTGCCCAGAAAAGGGAAGAAATGCATATTCAAGGAAATGAATTCATTGCCATTAAGGCCTTGTTTTTGCTAAGAAAAACAATGTGTTTTTACCACTTCAGTTAACTAACATGAGGTAAAATCCTAAAGAAGACAAGGCAGTCTGTAGTTATCACGTGAGTTAGCAGGTTGAGTTGAACACTATGGTAGAAACTAGAGTTCACTTGAACCTGCCAACTCACGTGAAAACTACAAACTGTCATTGTCTTTACTAGGATTTTACCTCTTGTTAGTTAACTGGAAGTAAGAACACACCCTTTATCCTACTGAAGAAGCACCCGTGTATGAGGCTGGGTTCATGTAATTAAACAGTGTGGATGACTCGTTTGTTCCTTGCTGACTGGAAGCCCTTTTTGAGTGGGAATGTATTCTGGAGTAATCCTGAAACAACTCTGTGGCAGGGAGTAAGGGATGTTTCAAAATTTCTGTATCTTTTTTAAAGGACTTGTGACCTTTGGAGCGACGTGTTTCTTGGGAAGAGAAAGAAACTGACAATATAAATAACATTTATCCAACTTAGATAGTATAGTCAGATAATATATGATTTTTATACAGTTAAAGGTACCTGAATTTGGTGGTAGCTAGTGAACTTTGTGTTTGTTTTATACAGCAATATGGCCAGTGAGTTAGGAAGCTACTACTAACCCTGGCTGTCCTCTTTTGTAGATTGGAAATCCTTGTAATGGAGGAATGGCAGGAAGCTGCAGCTTCTTGCACTTGGCAGAGTAGTGTAAACTTTGACCCTAAGCCTATGGCTTTTTGGGATAAGTAGTTTTATAACCAGGTGACCATTTTGTTTTAAAATGTTGTGATCTGGTTAACTTTTAAGAAAGTTGTTTTATTAAGCAAATTTTCCTATTTAAAGTGGTGATCTAGTCTCTTTGCAACACATGCAAGTTCATTAGGGTGGTTTCTGAGGATGGGAAATTAATAGGATCCCTCGTGTGCAAATTATCTTTGTGTGTTCAGTTGTGGTGCTTTGCACACACAAAATTGCAGCTGTAAATTTAGAAGCCACTTACGAAAATTTGACCAAGTAAGTCTATGTTCCTTGCAAGCACATGTATAAATAACTTCTGTGATTGCAGGATCAAGGCCAATTATTTTTGTGAGGCACAAAGATATTCATATGCTTAAATGAAAAGTATCATATATCCTGAGTATTTAGAGAGAGAGAGAGATATTTTGAAATCATTTAAATGTATCTGATACTATGTACATCATATACCACTTTAATGCCACATTTATATATAAAAACATGACAAAGTATGAGCTCATAATTTGCTTTTTTTGTGAAGTGTCAAGTTTCCAAATTCCTGGGGTAGCCATTAACAGTATGCACTGGAAAACATTTAAACACCATATATACTGTTAACATCTCACATTATCAGGATCTTGGCCCATGTATTATTTTGAAGTCTGGGTGCCAGGAACTCTGAGGGCCAGATTCAGCCTTGGTGTAAGGAGACACAACTCCAGTGACATTAATAGAGTTATGCCTGTTTGCACCAAGCTCTCAAATAAGGAGTCCCAAATGCCATACATATCTTGTAAGTTTACCACAGGCCCTATTAATGGTTTGTAGCATCTGGGCTAACTGCACAGTTATAGAGTTCAAAGGAATCACAAAACCTATTGCAAAGACAATGTAGGTTTTTGCAACAATTCTCTGACTTTCATATTTGGGACCCCTTAATTCTAGGTTGGTGTTCCTATACCCAGTCTGGCCACTGTTGACAGTGGGCACACAAATAAATTATCCAGCCAGGTTATTTATTTTATTTTATTTATTTATGCATGCTGTCTGCTTGGCTGGTTAACACATCTTTCAACAAATAAGAAACATACAGCAACAAAATAGCCCTTCTTAACTTCTGAAGGAGCAAGAAATATTTGTGTCATCTCTATGTGAATCCCAGCAACTCAGCATTGGATATAATCTGATCATTAAAAATAAACTTGAGGTGCCATGAAATTTTCTGAGCACATTACTCTCTCCTCATTACTAAAATAACTGGAGAGTTGAGAATGTAGTTTCATGAATTTTAGTAAAGACAATGTTTACTGAGTTTAATTTTTTGTTTCATGCAGCTGGACTTCCAGTTAAAACAGATATAACACCTGGGCCATCGCGACTTTGTTCTGGAGCAAGACGTTCCTTCTTTTGTAGGATGAAATGCAACAGACCTTCAGTGAAAGTAGAAGACAAGGATTTTCCTTCCACCTGCTCAAAGAAGAAAGGTAACGTTTGTACATTTTATCAAATATAATGGTGGTTTTACAGTTATTTTCTCTGTACTGTTGCTATATGAAACACCTCCCAGAGCAACAAGAGTAACTGTCAGATAAAAACAAAACAACCTTCAGTTAATTATAAAGGATTTCTGAATAGAGCTGCTCTATGTTTAGTGCAGTCGTCACTGTTGCGACTGTGTAAAGGTTTGTCTGTTACTCTCTTGTTCTCTTTATAGCTCCCTAAAAGTAGATGAAAAAGACATTTTGTTAGTGGATAAGGCAAAATTCTGCTCTCTGAAGCATGCATGACTTTAGTTGAAATCGATGGTAGAGTGTGCAATTATTTGGGGGTCTGAATTTAACTGTAAGCCCTAAGCTTCAAAGTTAATGGTTCTTAAGTACCTAGGGAATAGATTCACAAAGGTACTTGCATGCCTAGTTCCTCTTTGGGTGCCTAAATCCAACATTTAGGCCTTGGTGTAAGGAGACACAACTCCAGTGACATTAATAGAGTTATGCCTGTTTGCACCAAGCTCTCAAATAAGGAGTCCCAAATGCCATACATATCTTGTAAGTTTACCACAGGCCCTATTAATGGTTTGTAGCATCTGGGCCAACTGCACAGTTATAGAGTTCAAAGGAATCACAAAATCTATTGCAAAGACAATGTAGGTTTTTGCCAACATTTAGGCACCACTGACATTCTCAAAACCACTATTCAGCAGCTGCCTAACACTATAGGCGTCTAAAGTCACCATGGCATCCAAGTTTCCTTTGATAGGCATGTTCAAAGCTGCCTAAGTCTTGATGCTGCCCAACTGCTAACAGGCTGGTTAGAGCCCTCACTTATCCCTAAACCTCAGGGGCATTGTCAAACTAAGTGTTGCCCTGGACAGCACCCTAGTAGGGCCCAAACCAGTAGGCATGCTCAGGTTCACATGTACTTTCCTTGGATAAGGTCACGGAATGGGCCAATGGCAAAAGCAGAAGTAGAACCCATATATCCTGTTACTCTGTCTCATGCACTGATCATTTTGCCTCAGTGTGAATGTGATCTCCAGCCAAATGCATCATACGAAAATATTCAGTATACCTGTCTTCAATTAATATTAGGGCTGTCGTAATATTAGGGCTGTCGATTAATTGCAATTAACTCACGCAATTAACTCAAAAAAAGAATCGAGATTAAAAAAATGAATCGTGATTAATTGCCGTTTTAATCACACTGTTAAACAATAGAATACCAATTGAAATGTATTAAATATTTTGGATGTTTTTCTACATTTTCATATATATTGTATTCTGTGTTGTAATTGAAATCAAAGTGTATATTATTTGTATTACAAATATTTGCACAGTAAAAATGATAAAATAAATCATATTTTTCAATTCACCTCATGCCAGTACTGTAGTGCAATCTCTTTGTTGTGAAAGTGCAACTTACAAATGTAGATTTTTTTTTTAGTTACATAACTGCACTCAAAAACAAAACAGTGTAAAACTTCAGAGCCTACAAGTCCACTCAGTCCTACTTCTTGTTCAGCCAGTTGCTAAGACAAACAAGTTCGTTTACATTTACAGGAGATAATGCTGCCCACTTCTTATTTACAATGTCACCAGAGAGTGAGAACAGGCATTTGCATGGCACTTTTGTAGCTGGTATTGCAAGGTATTTACGTGCCAGATATGCAAAACATTAATATACCCCTTCGTGCTTCAGCCACCATTCCAGAAGACATACTTCCATGCTGATGATGCTCGTTAATTAAATTTGTGACTGAACTCCTTGGGGGAGAATTGTATGTCCCCTGCTCTGTTTTATCTGCATTCTGCCATATATTTCATGTTAGCAGTCTTGGATGATGACCCAGTACATGTTGTTCATTTTAAGAACGCTTTCATGGCAGATTTGACAAAATTCACATTGGTACCTTCTTTGCGATTTCTAAAGATAGCTACAGCACTCGACCCAAGGTTTAAGAATCTGAAGTGCCTTCCAAAATCTGAGAGGGATGAGGTGTGGAGCATGCTTTCAGAAGTCTTAAAAGAGCAACATTCCGATGCGGAAACTAGAGAACCCGAACCACCAAAAAAGAAAATCAACTTTCTGCTGGTGACATCTGACAATGAAAATGAACATGCATCAGTCCACACTGCTTTGGGATTCTTCTCAAGCAGAACCTGTCATCAGCATGGATGCATTCCCCTGGAATGGTGGTTGAAGCATGAAGAGACATGAATCTTTAGCGCATCTGGCACATAAATATCTTGCGACACTGGCTACAACAGTGCCACGAGAACGCATGTTCTCACTTTCAGGTGGACATTGTAAACCAAGAAGCGGGCAGCATGTAAATGTAACCAAACTTGTTTGTCTGAGCAATTGGCTGAACAAGAAGTAGGTCTGAGTAGACTTGCAGGCTCTGAAGTTTTACATTGTTTTGTTTTTGAATGTAGTTTTTTTGTACATAATTCTA